GGGGGGGGGGGGGGGGACGGACGGACGACACACACGGACAGGGCGCAGCAGCTGGGGGGACCCTGTTAAAGGGGAGCAGCGATGGCGTGTGCTGGGGAAGCTGCATGGAGCTGCCCAAGTCCTGCCTGGACTCTCTTGGGCTCAGTTTAGGGCTGGAGCCCCTTGGAGACCCCTGCTGCGGAGCTGCAGCCACCTGGGGAGCACCCAATGACACCCTAGCATACACCCCAGCTCCCCAGCCACCTTCCCCAGTGAAAAGTACTCAGCGGAGGGCAAAGGGCCATCGTGGCCTCTGCTTTGAAAAAGATTTTGATCTTGTTTGTCACTGCTGGGACACGAGGGCACAGACTAAGGGCGAGCAGCATCCCTGGCTCCTGGGGGTGCACGTGGTCCAGAACCCGAGGCTGGAGCAGAAACGCTCCATCTCCAGGCGCTCTGCGTCCGGCCGGCCCCAGGAGCCAGTTTCATTTTTTTGCTGCTGCTGTTAAACCAGCTCCAGCTCTTGCTCATCTTGAGCCCTTCTGTGGGTAACTGTGTCCCAGTAAAACTCTCTCGGAGGATTTGAGGTCCTGCCTTTAGCTGGCAGCTGCCGGGCTGAGGACCGGGAGATGTTAATGACAATGAGCTTTTGCACATGGGATTATTATTTTTGTTTTCTTTCTGGCTCGCTGCACAATTTTCTGCCCCCCGTGGGCTTTGCCAGCCCCGTTGTTCCACTGATCTGAAGAATGTGGCAGTTTTACTGTGAGGCCTCCCCCTACCCCAGGGGCCCTGAGCCCTCTTCAGAGCTGCCAAAGGGAGATTACTCGTGATCTAAACGGGACAGAACCCCCATTCCCCGGAGAGAAGTTGTTGCAATAACCCACAAACCAAAACTGGAACAGGCAGAATTCCCAGAAGGCTTGAACCCTGCTGCAGCTCCACGGGGGCAGAGATGCCCAAATGGCAACAGCAGGAGGGTCCCGGGCTTGCAGAGTGCCAGTGTTTGCTATATTTTACGTGAAACGCGACTGGACTTTTGCATAAATGGATTTTATGTCTGGTTCTGGTTGTGACTGCAGCTTCCCTTTCCCGTTTTTATTCAGCTTGTTAAGTTTTCAGACTGCAGCTGGTGGGGCTTCCTCTTTTGGGCGCATGCTGCTGGAAGCTCCCGCTTGTTTCGGTACCACAGGCGCCCAGTGCTGGGGGCTGGAGCCGGAGCAGGGACGTGCGCACGGACAGGAGCTGCCCCTCGGCCCCTTCCCAGCTCTGCCACCGCTCCCGCCCCTTCCCCCAGCTCCAGGGGAAGGGAGCCTCCCGTTAGCCAGGAAGTTTGGAAGTTTTAAAGAACGCGACTGTGCGGCAGCAGGGAAGGGAAATGCAACCGGCTGCCGTGGGAGCACCCGAGGGTTCTGAAAAGCACTTGACTGGGAAGGGCAGGAGGAGAAACTGGTAATTTTAAAATAACCCACGTACTATGGAGCAGTTGCAGCATCCTGCAGCTCATGTTCCTGTCATGCCAGCATGGCAGGGAGTTACATAAACAGACAGAAGCACTTCTTTCAAGGCCTGAACAGTAACTTTATTTGCTGCACTGCAGCTTTCCCTGCCTGCAAGAGCAGAAAGTGACGTTCTTCAAAGGCTGACGCTTCTACTAAACCTAACTCAGCTTTCCCTGCAGCCAGCCAACGGGGTTTTAAACAAATAATGCAGAATTAGAGCTCATCGCTTTGCTGCAGTCTCTGTAACACTGTGCTGGGTTACTCGACCTTAAAGGTTTGCAAAGTCTAGTGACACAAAACCACACGCTCGCGGCCTGCGTGGGCTCTGCTCATACTGAAAGTGCATGGAGTCGACTCCTTCCCGACGTTATTGAGATTTGTTTGACCACCTCTGTCTGCAAGTTCCGATTTCTTAAACTGTCACTGCTTGGGGAGGGGGAACATCCAGATTATTTCAAACAAGCGCAATATATACCGAACAGTTTCGCGTCCAGGGTTTGTACAGAGGCATTAACAAGAGTAACTGTTCTGCATGTTAAGCTGCAGCTTTGTAAATCCACCCTTGTGCACGGCAGAAGTCTGTTCTGCTGCTGCGGAGCGCGCGGAGGTGGCCGCCCCCCGTCCTGCGGAGCCCCCCGGGGTGGGCTCTGCCCCCTCAGTACACGGTGCACCAGTTGCTGCCGTCGCTGGGCATCAGCCCGCCGGTGATGAGGAGGATCAGATCAACGAACCACCAGATCCCCAGTCCCCCGAGAGTCAGCAGCTTCCCCACGGCCGTCCCGGTATGGCCCAGGCAGAACCGATCCACTCCGAAGCAACCCAGGAAAAACGAGTAGAGCAGAGTGGTTATAAAATAATGTCCCGTGTACCTGCAACGGGAGCGCCGGCAGCCGCGTCAGGCGGGGG